GGGGGGGGGGGGGGGGGACAAATCGCCGGGCTCGACACGAGTACAAAAAATTATTTGGACGAATATCTTTCTAAAAAGAAAGGAAAAGAAAAGGACGAAGGAAAAGAGAAAGAGAGAGAGAAACGGAGAAACGGGAGAAGAAGAAAAAGGAGAAACAGAAATACGACAGGAAAAGAAAAGAGAATAGAGTAAGATTGAAAGAAATTGTTCGCAGCGAATCTGTCATTGACAAGGCCTCCTACAAAAATTAATTTCTTCGTCTGTATCTACAAATATACATATATATGCATGTGTACCACATACATAGTTATTTAACGTATTCTATATACGATATAATATAGTAATAAGCTCTTCATGGTTTCTTTTTTCTCCGCGGAGTCAATTGGTCAAGCAACCGATCAGACCGATAAAATGATCAACGTCCTTTTTCTCGAAAAAAAAAACAAACGAAAAATCGATATTAACAAGCGTACATATTCTGTATATATATTATGGTGTATATATATACTATGTATATAAAAAAATAAACGAATGAAAATGAGAGAAGAAGGGCTTCTTCTACGTACAACCGGGACAAAAAACGTACTCTCAGTGTCGGTTTCCCATTTTTTACGTCGCAAAAAGTGCTAAAAAACATATATATGTATATGTATTAATTATACTCGATTATTGTCACTGAGCGTTGCAACGAGCAGAATCGCTTATCTAACGCATCAACAGTATGTAAAATATTAGTCGCGCGTAAATTACACAGTGGCTCACAGTGTTTTTTTTTTTCATTCTCTCTCTGAAGGCTGCCGTTACAACGGGCGGTATCCAACGATATCCGATTTTGCTTGGATCCCGGAATTTCGTTAATTATTTCTCCTTGCTCGTTTTCTTTTTTTTTTCTTTTTTAGGGAACCGCGAAACTTCTTCGCGATTCCCCGAACGAACCATTGCAGCAGAGAACGCGAAGATTATGTACAAATTACTCTGATCGGACCCCGTTGGAATCTCTTTTTCTTTTTCTTTTTTTTAGCAAATCTGTGAGTTACTCTGTAGATTCGTGAAAGGCGGTGTGTGTGTGTGTGTGTGTGTGTGTGTGTGTGGCGGGGCTTTGCTCGCCATTTTCATTCGCGGTCGGTTACACTGCGGGTCAATCGCATGGTACACGATCATCGATCGGGGAAAACAATGAACGTGGTCGACGATTTGATTGCAATACAACGTTTGCAGAGCGCGGCATTTCTGCCGCGTCGCAAGGATCGAGAGAAGGCACCGAAACGAGGAGACTCGGCTTCAGACAAATGAACGCTTTTAATTCGAAAAGGAATTTCGTCGTGGTCGCCAGAAATATTAGGCCGTCGCAAAGGTAGTGCCATTTTTCTTTTCCGTGGGAGAGTGCGCGGAAGCAATGGAGAACCGGGGCCCGTGGCAAATAAATAATAATCACTGGATATAATCTGACGATTAAAAGTCGGGCGTCGTGGTTCGTTCCATGGAACTTTGGAATTCCGGCAAAATCATACTGTAATCAATTCTCGAACAAATTAAACATAAAAATCTCATTCGCTGGAACACGATTGAACGTTGATGATGACGGTTATCAATGGCGTCCACGGTCTTGGCCGGCAGTGTGCACCGCTGATCCGCGGGACAAGAGGAAGCAGCTACGGACAGAGAGATACGATTCGCTGTTGTCTAAGAGCAGCCCTCTCGGTGCGCAATTTCTGCGATTAGCGATCGTTAGAATCCGCGTCGCCGCGGCGGCGGCGCGGGTGCTTCAAGAGGGGTGGTGGCCGAAGAATGAAAGTATATATAGAACAGAGGGGCGAAAACAGCGTTCCTCTTCCGCGAGCAAAGAAGTTCTCTCTCGCGCGAGTCTTTTTTCCTTTCGCGAAGCTTAAACGCTACGAAACCGTCGGCAGAACCGAGAAAGAGAACGATTCGCGTATCGTCGCGAGACGATACGCACAGGGGGGGAAATTCGATCGGCACGGTTTCTTCAGTAAATATTTACAAGAGACAAATGATTCGTATGTTGGAGTTCGCGTGTCCGTTGCGACGAGCTATCGAAGCGCGACAGATTGGTGGAGAAAGGAAAGAAAAAGAGGAAGAGAGAGAGAGACAGAGAAAAACTAGAAAGAGAGAAAAAGAGAGAGAGAGAGAGTGAAACGATTGGCTCAAAGAGACCCCGTCGCGACGCTTTCCCCGCACTCGAGCTTTGACTTCGAGCGATTTTCCTCAACGGCGCGAGACGACCGAGCGCCGAAAGTCAACGTAAAAGAGACGGTAAAATGTAAAATGTACGGAGAAAGAGAGAGAGAGTGAGAGAAAAAAAGAAAAGAAGCACTTGATCTACCTTACGATAAAAACAACTAGAATCACTTGTGTACCATCACCACGTGGGATACGCTACAGTAATTAACGTTTCTTAGAGAACTAGGACCTAGTCCGTGCGCAGAAAAGCGTCGTTCTCCCAAGTATCCTTCGTTCGTTATTTCACTTTTTCGATTGACCGCCGATATTCGGACGCTCGCCGCCCTCCTCCCCGTCCGCTTCCGGTTCCCCGTGAAATATAATTTCGGCCACGATCGAACGTCGCATCGATCCGAATGCTCGGCGCGCCAGAATTAACACGTCCGCTAACAACGTTTCCGTCATGCTCGAGCATGACTTGTACGCGCGCTTTACAGAGACCCCCGTTAGCCGTGTGAAAGTGTGCTTGTCACGTCGATTAAATTCTTCCTAGTTTACAATTGTACAATCTATCCTGCGCTAGCTTCTCGTCTATATTCGTTTCACAGAGATTTCTCAGCGCCGGAAACGGAGCCCGCGGAGCTTAAACTTTTACGACTAAATTAAAGAGATACCTGTGAACAAGCCACCTCGAATTTCACAGACTATCTGACGAACAAAGGCGAACCGAGTTAGGGAACGTGTCAACCGAAGCCGCTCGCAGGTGTTTAACAACGATTTAACGCATCCGATTCGCTGCAGCGTCGTCGGCACAGCTCGGAGATCTGTTTCGAACACATTTTGGAGATCTTCCTTCGAGCTACCAGAAAGCAGACTTTTCTAGAACGCTATCGAGGACACCCTCGACGAGAAGGCGGTCCCAGAGACCCCCTGCATTAGGTCATGCTAAGATTCTGCGTACAGGGGATCTCAAGAGTTCGAGAGGACCGCCTAGCTTTCTCCCTCTAGGCGATCCAAGAGGTCCTCCACAGAAGATCGCAGTAAACAACCGAGCAAGAACCTCCCGCGGACCGTGAAGAACGCTCTGTACAGGTGATTCGACGAGGACCGACTGTCTTTGAGCCAGCAAGTCCCAAGAGTTTGTACAGAGTCGTCCCGGAGATTCGCGCGGGCGGTCAAAGATTGTTCCACGTAGTCGACCGGGCCCGGCGCAGGAGATCGTCTCTCGACAGGTCCGTCGGGGGGGGGGGGCCTTAAAGAACCCTCTGAACGCGACAGAGAGGACCGGACGAGGACGGCGGAGGGTCGCGAAAGCAACGAGGAAACGTTAGACCAAGAGTCTATCCACGATCAGATGTGAGGCCGCGTTGTACAAGAAAGAAACAGAAGCTCGAGAGCCACACAGCGGCGCGGCCTCCGCCGAACGAGACGATCGTTCGCACGCGCCTGTCCGCGCGCTCACGCTCGCACGGTTCTCGCTTATTACTCTAATCAGCTCCGGCCCGCTCCGGCCTGTGCGTGCACGGTCTCGTGTCTTTCGTGGTTCCGAGTCCACGCTCGACTCCGCAAGATTTCGCGGCGGCGTGAAAAAGATAGAGACACCACTCCGCAGCGTCTCGCGAAGGACCTCCGCGACTTCTCGTGGACTCATCGTGGACATTGGTTTCTCCGGCACGCACGCCGGCGTCTTCTCGCGTCTGCGGCTGCTTGTCCGTACGTGTCTGCGCCTGTGTAAACGTGCGGCGTTCGCGCGCGCGCGAGTCTTCCCGCCGACATTGTTCCATCCCCGCGCATGGTTTACACGGGCGCACACGCGTCCGCGCGGTTGCAGCTGCACAGGGGCTTCTGTGCACGCGTGCTACAGACTCACACTTACAGACAGGACATACACACGGCCGCGTATGTATGCGTGTATACATATATATAATCTAACTATACATATAACTATATACACTTTTTTTGTTTTTCTTCGGGGGACGTGGAGAACGGAGGTTCGGGATGGCGGGAGAAAGAGAATGAGAGAGAGAGAGAGGGAGAGCGGGGGAGAGAGAGACGATGGATGTATTATTCTTTCCGTTCTACTCTCCTCTCTGCTCGGAAGGATCACGGGGGCTGAGGGGACTCGAATGTGGGACCGTCTGCTGCGTGTACGTGTGGCATGTTTCTCGTTTTTTCTTTTTTTTCCTTTCGGTTGCGTGTCATTCTCGTGTGTGTGTGTGTGTCTATGTGAGAGAGATAGAGAGAATCGATGATTAGCAGAACTTCTCGAAGGATATCCTCGGGATCCTCTAGGAAAGTGGGCTGTCGTCCTGTTCAATTGTCGAGGATGGTCTCGTGATTCGGCGCGCTCCTTCCTTCCCTTGTTTAGTTTGCTTCCGGACTGGCGATACCTAAGTGCTGCGACTATAAGTGTGGGAGGTGGAGCCGGCGCAACAAACGCTCGCGTCCTGCCGCCTCGCGACACCAGGACCAGGAGCCGTTGTCTCGCTTGCCCGCCAAGCTGTTAGACCTCCGTGTACTTGCTCAGCTCGTCGCGCAGGAGCATATTCTCGTTCTTTAACCGGTCCAGTTCCTGTCGCAGGCCCATGTTCTGGAACCGAGGAAATGATACAGTCAGGCGGGACACTTTGGACCGCGGGCCACGAAGAGCTTCCGGAAAGGAACGTTTCACCCCCGACATCAACCCCGTTGCGCCTCGGCGATCTTTCTTAACGTCGAGAAGGGCCTTGGCGCGTTCGACTACAAGTCTCGATATCGTGATAAACGTATTTATTATTGTCTCATATTCAAGATCTTAGGTTTCTAGAAGATGTTCTCTCTGGCTGTGACCTTGACGAGCTTGGACAATTATAGTCACCGAATTCCTAATGGAAGGGACGATACCAGCAGGTGTCAAAAGGGTTGTAAAATACGAAAGGGACCTCGATGTCTCTAAAAAGGTAACGTTCACCTTTGTTCTTTTTAAGACAGCTTTCATGTGTCTTTGAGGAGAATAAAAATGTTTCAGGTGCAAACGTTGCGTGAATCTTTCTGTACGTCGATTCTGACTGAAACTTTTATGGCGAACCGAAAGAACCTTGTAACTGTTAATAGTCGGGTACTATTATAACTGTTATTTTTTTCTTTTTAGTAATAAATACGTTGCATTTCTTTTAGGTATTCGAGTTATCGACGTCTTTGTAATACTTATCACACAGAACCAAAATATGACAGTTATAGAACTGGTATTATAAGTGAATTCTTGTATTTATGTTATAGAAGTATTATACAGTATTATTAAATAATTATGAAGTATTATAGTACTTATATATTATATAGTATATATAGTATTATATATAGTACTTATAGTATACATATATTATAATACTTATAGTACTATAGTATTATAGTAATTATGTAATATAAATATTAGATAAGTATCATAAAGTAATTTCGGTTTTTTCGCAAGCTATCTGTTTGGAAAACCGAAATTACCCTTGCAACAATTCAATATAATTATGATTTAATATTTTGTTCCTGTTTTCATTAACATTCTTTTGTTCACAGATCCAACTACTTCGCCATCCGAGTACCAGGGCCGAGATTGAGTTTCTAAACAATTTCTTAAAAACATTTCTGTATTTATAAAATATATATATATATATATATATATATATATATATATATATAATTTATTTATAACAGTTATTTAGCC